ACAAATCTTTCCGTTCTAGATACAAGTCCCAACTGCTGTCATTACTCACACTTTGCACTCCAGTGTACAACTCATGAAGCTAATTTTTATTCTATTTTATTTTATCTCATGTTATTTATATCCAATTGTTCTTTCAACACAAGTACTCAAGGCAGCTAATCAGTTGCTTTTCTTCAGTGCTTCTGACTTGAGCGTCATTTTTAACCATTTCTGATTTCTACCAGGGCACACTTTGCCTGTCTCAGTTTTTTTCCCCTGAATGTGCCCATATTGCCTGTGCCAAACCCCTAACTGTATGGGTTCCAGAGGACTTCTGAAATCTGCCTGCAATATGAGTTCTGAGGCCTCTTCTCCATTCTGGTCTGCTCCTCACCAGGCTATCTTCCTAAGAGAAGACCGGCTCAATACATGTTGCTGCCTGAGACAGTGCAGCACATGATGGCTCCGCCCCACTCCCAGTCAAGTCACGGTGCAGAACTAGTTATGTGATTTGGGCATATGACTCATGAAATTCCATGAACGCTGCTCCTTGGCCTGTTCCCTAGCATTAAAAATACAATAATAACAAAGTGAAGATCAATTCACTGCTCTTTTGTGGCCTCTCACACCTGCAGGCCTTGTTCCTCTGTAGCCCCTCTCAACCTCAATGGCCCTCACACTGGAGAGGCTCAGGCGAGGCTCCTAGTTTGAGAGGCTAAGAAAACCAACTAGAGGACAAGTAGCAGAGAAGAGATGAGAGACTAAAATGAAAACATGCCCTCGACGAGCCATATACTGTATCTATATGCCAGTGTGGGCTGGCCCTCAGTAGGAAGCTCCCAATTTAGTTTCAGACTGAAAGCTCTTCACAAGTGAGAAAAGAAGAGGAAGGAGCACAACCTTATTCTCCTAGCAGGAAACCATTGTTTTTCACTGCTTTTGAATCTTGCCTTTCTCTTACCAATGTAGATGTCTCTACATTGAGCCCTAACAATGGTCGTTAGGTTTGTTTTGCTTTCAGTAGGCAAACAATGCCCCCGCCCGCATTGTTGTTGTTTAGTCGTGTCCGACTTTTGAGCCCTAACAACTGTCGTTAGGTTTGTTTTGCTTTCAGTGCCCCCGCCCGCATTATGACCTCTTTAATGATTTGTTGTTGTTTAGTCGTGTCCGCCTCTTCGCGACCCCATGGACTAGAGCACGCCAGGCCCTCCTTTCTTCCATTGCCTACCGGAGTTTGCTCAAATTCATGTTGGTAGCTTCGGTGACACTGTCCATCCATCTCATCCTCTGTCATCCCCTTCTCCTCTTTCCTTCACACTTTCCCAACATTAGGGTCTTTTCCAGGGAGTCTCATCTCTTCTCATGAGATGGTCAAAGTATCGGAGCCTCGGCTTCAGGATCTATCCTTCCAGTGAGCACTCAGGGTTGATTTCCTTCAGAATGGATAGGTTTGTTCTTCTTGCATTCCAGGGGACTCTCGAGATCCTCCTCCAGCACCACAGTTCAAAAGCATCAGTTCTTCGGCAGTCAGCCTTCTTTATGGCCCAGCTCTCACTTCCATACATCACGACAGGAAAAACCATAGCTTTGACTATGCCGACTTTTGTTGGCAAGGTGATGTCTCTGCTTTTTAAGATGATGTCTAGGTTTGTCATCACTTTCCTCCCAAGAAGCAGGCGTCTTTTAA